CGTTTAGGAGGTTTTTAATTATATTCTCTAAACCAGAAACTTCCCCTTAGTAAATTGATACTTCTTTCATGTCTGTGTGTGTGTTTGGATTTGTTTCTATATGGCCAGACCAATACCTCCCCTCCCTTCTACTTTTTACATTTGGGGGAGATCTAGGAGGGATACTCTGCCTGGTTCAAGACTTACCAATGCATGAAGCAAGATATCTAAGGCATGGTCAGTACCTTCAGCCACAGTTTTTCACAGGATGTCATGGAAAGGGCAGGGTTATCAAATATTTTACTCAAACCTCATGGACCAGTTGAGTGGCTTGCCAGCCCAGTTTCATTTGCATGGCCAAAGTTTCTCCACGTTTGCTATAGGAAACCAGATGCGATGAGCCAGATGGACAAATGTTCTGATACACAGAGAACAACTTTCTATGAAATTACATCAGCATCATGTGATGTAGATTGGATTAGGGATTAGGAGGCCAAGGTTCAAGAGTCCTTGGATCACTGAGGATTCTGTGCTCAGACCTTACACCAATAGCACTCCCACCTACTTCACATCACATGTGAAGGCATCACAGAGGCATCACATACTTCCTAAGAAAACTGAACTCCATAAACAATTTCCTACAACACCATTTTAGCTGCCATAGATATTGAGGTATTATATATCAACTCCCACCTACATGGACTTCAAGCCATCATGTACATCATCACTGATGCCAAAACAACATGCCTTGCCACCAGACTGTGTGACACATTATACAGAAAATTTACAGATTGCCATGCATATCTGCATGATTCCAGCTTCCACCCAGAAGACAGCATCAAATCTATCAATGATAGCCAAGGCCTCTATTACAACTGCATTTGTTCTGACCCATGACAGAGATGCTCAACTAATGGAATTAAACCAGGCATTCAGGAGACTGCACTACCCACCCAACAAGATTAATACACAAATCAGTAGAGCCAGATCAATTCCAGGAAGGACCTATTAAAAAACAGACCACAGAAACAGAACAACAGACCACCACTGCTTATTATTAGCTTTCAGTTTATTACGTTTGGTTAACTTATCCAAGAAAAGGCTCTTCAAGTTAGTCAAATTTGCAAAGGTATCAAATAATTTCTTCTTAATTAAATATAGCAGTGTTTCTCAACCTCAGCAACTTTAATATGCATGGACTTCAACTCCCAGAATTCCCCAGCCAGCAGTTTTTAAAACTGAATTTAGTAGCACATTAATAAGATAAAAACTGAAGTTAAAAGGATCTTCTCAGCTAGTCCTAAATCCAAATTTACCTTTCCAAATATATTTGAAACAGCAGTGGAAATCCACTAAGACCTACATATGTGCTTATCACACTATTCATTTTCAGACTAACCAGTGTTATGCAAAGCACTATGAGTGAAAAGTAGGGAGCCAAAGAAATTAAAGGCAAGAGGTAGTGTCTTTGCAGCTGATTTTAAATAGTATCTGCTATTTAAAAGTAATTATTTGGGGAGGGGGAGCTTTTTTCCTTACACATTTATTTATTTGTTCAATTTACTTCTGGTGCAATTGATAGATTCTTGGCTGGTTACAGTAATCAAATTTCAATAAAACATATATTGTATAAAACATAAATCTAAAATATCAGAAAATATCATTGGAACCACAATAAAATATAGTCAAATAAAAACCATAAGAACAGCCAGAAAACACAACAAATAAATAAACAGATGGTAACATCCATTGCAGACAGCTAGATGGGCATAGTGGTCATTAAGCTAAAAATCGGGAGACAGTACATTTTAGTCCTGCCTTAGACAGGAAGCTACCTGGGTGACTTTGGGGTTATCATTCTCTCTCAGGTCTACAAAGAAGGCAACGGCAAACCAGTTCCAAAACTATTGCCAAGAAAACTGCAGGGACTTGTTGAAGGCACAAACTATCCATTACAAGCCCATTGTAAATAATTTTGTTTTGAGTGATTTCCTATTATAGTTATATGATTCTGTTGCCAGAATTCCAAATAGCTACTAAAGTATTAAGAAGGTATTAGAAGACAAGAATGAACACATACATACATATAGATGAATGATACTCTTCCTTTTGGGGTAAGCCAA